GATCATTTGAGGAAGATGTAACACGAAACCGTCTACCCGCTACGGCTCATAAAACAGCGCGTTTTATGCTGATGGGGCCGCGCGTCTTGGGGACACTGCCGCGAAGAAAAGGGGGTGGAAAGGAAGAGGCGGAAAGGTGAAGAAACGAGCACGAAAGAAGCCGAGGCTGGCCGGCCAAGTGAAAGAACACTACTCAGCGTTGTTCAGGAGAAGTGCCCCGGGACGGCACAGGTGCAAAAGAGGTCTCTATCTGTGTGTTTCGTTCATAGTTTTGATTGGTTTGATATAGGTATGGAAAAGGTTCAGAAAGTAACTGTTTGAAACTATTGTTTGATTGAAACAGTTATAGAGAACAGTTATAGAGGGACTGTAACCAGTGTAGCTCAGAACCAATATACCCAATAACAACTATGACTCAATCTGGGTTCTTCATAACTGTTCCAAGGACTGAAACTGATGTCATAACTGTTTTCAATGTAGTTACGCGTATTTGCATTGACGAATGGCAGATTAGTACCGAAAATGAGATAAGAAAAGATGAAAGCTAGCCGATTAGACCATTCCTTCTAGGGCTCATCTAATAAACAAGGCTGAGTATATAGGCTACGACGAGCTGGTTCCTCTCGACGATGATCCTGGCGTCGGTGCCAAATGCGGACGGCAGGTGTTATCCATGAGGGATTCTTCATTTTCACTGATGAATCCCGTTCGATTTTTTTTCCGGGAGTGATAGGAAGGGAAACGAAAGCGTACGTGACGTAGGGCAGCATCGTTTAGCTGGCACGGGCTTGCAATTTTAAACCGACCTACGAGAATCCTTCTTTGGCGCTACGTTGGCCTGATATGCGCGACACGAACTTGTTAGAGGCAGAATTCGAGTAGGATTCTAAGATTGGTAAGTGCAGAGAATTCTTGTAATCGTTGCTAGTAGACTATTGCGAGTATTTTTTTACTGGTAGTCGATTTGTCATTGATCATTGATTTTAATATATATATATCGTTCGGGAGTATCTATTCTTATATAATTAACCTGCGCCGGGAGAAAGTAACAATATCTCTAGGTAATTCATATTGCTACAATTGAAGTATCCTCTGAATGAACATCACTGAATGCTAGGAAAATCATTTTTGCTTTAAATAGTATTCCGGGGAACAGCAAAGCCACCATGGGAGATACAAAACCTGCATTTCAGCCATATTCGGGGCACTGCAGCAAAAACTTCACCCACAAAAAATATTCGGAACACGCAGATCCTAAATCTTAGGATTATTCTGAACGCGGGCATAAAAACCAAAATAACTCATACGACACCGCCGAAATGTGCACCATAAAACAACACAACACGCGAGTTTGCAGAACATCCGAGCAACAAAAATACCTGCAATTCATGGATCAAGCGAAACTGTGCACAGACTTCTCTGATTCAAAGGAAAGTAAAAAACGGAGAAAAGAGAAGTAAACTTTCAAAGAAAATTTTATAGGAAAGTTATAGTACCGCGCGCGAACGTATCGAACAAACCACCCGTCGCTGCTGTCTGCCGCGCGTTTTTCCCGGACAACGTAATCACCGAACGACATTAATCACTGTTAGAGAGGGGCGGCATTTAAAAAATCCCACGAAAACCGCGCAGTCACCTCGCCTCGACCCTAAACCGGGACACATTGTTGTCCGGGCCGTAGTTTCGCCAGGTGGCTAAACTAAATAGGATTTCGCGGATTCGCCGGGCGAGTTAATTGCAACGTACCTACGCGTAGGCGTCAAGACACAAAGAAAAAGAGAATAAAACAGTGCCCACCAGGCCTGGAAGAAATTAAGTGGATTAGCACCTTAATGGCGGGGTGGCGGACGGTAAACTGAAATAAATATGGCGTCGCGAGAGGAAGAAGGTGAATGTAATTATGCGACTAAGCACTTAGTAATTTCCAACCGACGGCGGAAAAGAAATAGAGGGGGAAAGGCAAGTGGCCGGGAGGTTGGAAGTTGGTATCTCCATCTCGTTACAAACCGATAATACTTTCGGGCAATCGTTTCCCTTTTCCGAACACAATTGAAAACGATCGCCGGGGAGAAATAAATTCGCGACAGCGAAGGGAAATGAGGGGAGCGGAGCCGCGAAAGGAATAAGAGGGTTGGCGAGCCCGTTAAAAGTTGAAGACGCGTTTGCGCGGAACTGTTTCACCGTAATAGCCAAAGTTCTTCCCCGGCAGCGGTCCGGTTTCGCTGTGGCCTTTATTATTTTATATTTCGCAGCGGGCAACGGCCCGCTCGAAGATAACAGAAATTATACCCACGTTTCAAAGTGAAACAACCGTTACCGGGCGACGCGAAACTTTAATTCCCCCACGATACCCCGTCCGATTTCATCTTCGCGGGATACCCGCCTAATTTCGGGGCGGGACTGCGTGTGCTCCTCGTTCCCTAATTCCTGCGACCGAATCGGGAGATACGCGAACTTCGGCATGACTATCGGGAAATTTGGAAAATTTCTTAGCTGAGAACGTTCCGGGGCCGGGCTCCCAGGGAAATTAAGACGCTAATGGGGTAAGTCGCGGGAGGAATCGACGTTGGATCTTCGCTTCGTTTGAAATTTCCCTAGCAACTTTTATTGTTTCACTTTGAATCGCGAGTGTTGGAGAACGTTGCAGTGGACGTGAATGGCGACTGGCGATCACCACTTGACTCGCCAAAGCAAGATTATAAAGGTTAATGTTTAATTGACTTATGTGTGACTTTCGGTTAAGTTGATTTGAAAAATATCATCTACATCTCAGGAGGAAATGTTGGATATTTCTAGTAAAGCTCCGAGAGCAAACGATTAATGTAGAATACAAGGTGACATTATAAGAAATAGATATTAATACGAAGTTAGAAGACTTTGTAATAATTTAAATATTCATATTGAGTGAGACATCCTTATTTCCTTCAATGCTAAATCACCGATTTGCTTGCGACGTGCGATTCTAGTTACATCCTCGTCGAGGAGAATCTGAATTGCGCCACCTCGGAAGTGCCAGCTCACCGTAGCTTCTATTACGAAATCGGGGCTGTATTTACAACGCTTTTACCGGGAAGCAGTTAATTAGAAATTCGTATACGTTCCCCTCGGTAATTGAACGTGCTTCAGTTATCCGAATGGAAACGCGGAGGGGGAGAGAAACGGCATGAAACTTTCAAGGCCCCACGAACGGAAAATTGAGGATCAGCCATCAGGAATGGCGAACCGGCGCTCCTGTAATATGCATGCACACACTTTGCAATGCGAAGCTGTCCTCAAACGTTTTCCAGCCGCGTCTCCTAACGCGTCGGTGCAAAGGGTTTAGTTACATGCCTGATGTGTAGGTACAAGCCAGTCACCTACGACGTCCACTTGACACGCGCGAGTGCGTTCGACGCGCGTGTAACAGACCGTCCGCGAGATACACGCATGTACGATCGCATATAATATAGTGGAACTGCGTCCTCTGTAATGTAATCATGGCTGACACAATTAATCACTGGACCATCCAACCCCGCCGAACCATTAGCGATCGAGACACTACGGTTCACGGGGGATGCGTTTCGCATCTCCATGCGTTTCCCCGGAAAATACAATGTATTTCGTCCACGTAATACGCATACGCGCGCTGTCGCCTCGAAATTCAGAATTATCCAATCAATCGATTGGTAAATTTAATATGTGTCAAATGAAAAGTTAATATTCCAAATTATTATAAATTTTAGTTCCGGTTTAGTTCCACTTACAGAGCCAACGAACAGGAATGTGTGAGTTATTCGGTTTTACAGAATTTTCTACGTCGCAATATCTAGATGTCAGAGATCAATGATCGAGTGGTCCAGAACGTGTTTGTAATATTAAAGAAGAAAACCCATTTGTATCATGATAACTTGCTTTCATTTCGTCGGCGAATTGTACGTATCGAGTACATTTCGCTGAAATGTTTTTTATACGATCGTATATATTTCAAACGAGCCTGAAAAGTGAACGTCGAGGATCGTAGCTCGTTCCCACTCGATGCCGATCAACCACTTTTCATTCATTTTCCCGGCGCTTGACAGGCTTGATTAATCGGTGCCACTGTTTATCGTCGGGTATATAATACGACGGACCGGCGCCTCGATCGATCCCCTAATGGCCGATTGGCTTCGATATCGCGAAATCAGGCTCGCAGGCGGCGTCGTAGCCCGCGGATCATATTAATCGGAGTGTGAGTCCGGCGTTGAAAGCGCTGGCCGGGGCGATCGATGAGGAAACGACGGAATCGCAGACATCATAGAACCCAGGGGTTGATTAACTTTGCCGGAAGTCGGGAGACCTTCGATACGATCTTTATCGTGTACCGTAAAGAACCACGGCCGGTAATTAATTATACAAAGTTCGCGGAAGTTTTCCCATTTTTTTTTTCTTATTCTCTCTGTTTCCCCGGTTTTTTGACCCTGCTGCTCTCCAGAAAAGATTTTCCCCGTGAACTCGCGGCGCAACGGTCCGTTACTTTAATAGACTTACCGGCGAGCAACAGCTAAATTTCGACGAGTCTGATCCGTGGCCGGCGCAATCCCAGCCGCATTGAAACTAATTTCCCGGCGCAACTACGCGAACTTAATTCCGTTTTTATCGGGCAGCCGAGAAGCCGAAGTTTCGCGACGGGGAACGCAAGCCTCGAAATTTACAGCCGCCCATCAGCGAATTGAATTACAGCCGGCCACGGGCTTCTTAAACTTACACCGTTCCTCATCCACCACCGCCTACCCGCGAATGTTAATTACGAAGTAATGCATGCAAAGCTGTGTACGAGCGTGAAAACCGTAGGAGTCGGGCACCGACACAGACGAGCTGCGGCTTCGCCGGAGACGAGGGACAGGATGCGGCTCATCGGCGGTACGCGGGAGAAGACGGAGCCAGGGTGGAGCAATAATACAGGGATCCTTGGAAAACGGCCAAAGTGTCAGCCGTAATATTACAACCAGTTACAACGGGGCATCGTGAAGAGACCTGCGAAGTAGTGCGAATGATCATTTTATTTCGCGACGTTGCGCCCACTCGCGCGAGCCGCGTCTAGGTACAGCAGCATACAAGACTCTTGCTTTCCACGAACAAACTGAGACAGGATCGCGCTCGAACTGGTTCCTCTTCATTGACCGCTGCCATCGTTCCCTTCACTTCCTCCTATCCGCCGTGTAACGTAGATAGGAACAGTATCGAGTCACCGGAGCATAATTTGTACTTCGCTTCCCCCTGAAAATGTTGATAAAGTTACTAGTGAGAAACCCTGATGTAGCAAAAATAATAGTTTAACATCAGAAACAGTTGGAACGTTTAACACTAGAACTACCAATCACTTAAACTGACTTTTACAAATTTCTTTATGAAAACTATAAGCGTGCGTTTACTAAGACTTCAATTGAGTTGTATTTCAGCTTTGCTATTACTGAATTAGTAATTGTAAAAAAACTCAGAAATGTCATTTTGACCCATCTGGTAGTTCTAGTGTTAATTTGATAAACTTGCAGTTTGATCCCATGATCATTTAACTCTAAATTCTTTCTTGAAGGCGACTAGGATTCTACATAGATGCACAGAAGTTCTTTCGGCGACCCTTAACGAACAACAGTCTATCCACTTGAATTTAATGCCGCTGTACGGAGAAAACTTGACGAATCGCGAAAAAGCTGGCGCGCGAAGAGGGGACATGACGCCGGTGAAAATGCGCGAGCCCGTAGTCGGAACGACGCTTTCCCTTTTAATTTACGAGCCGAAAATGATGTAAAACGGAGCGAGAGTAAGCAGGTTCACGAACGACGCTGTAGCCGGGGAAAAAGGATAATGCTGCGAAAACGCGGCGGTGGAAAAAGGAAGAAAGGGCAAGGAGTCGGGCCACGTCGGTTGAGGAATACGAGAGAAGCTTCGGGAAACGTTGGTATTATCATAATAATGGCTAAAGCCATCATCTTTCCCGCGTCTGCTCTCTACACCTACCACCCCCTGTCCGCGCCCCGCGAAGCCCCATTCTCCTCAAGGATGCTTCAGGAAGCACATCCTAATAGCACTCGCGTTTTGTACATTTACAAATTTAAAATGATAATTTTGCTGTGGGTGTGGCGTGCCTTCGGGTCATTTGCGCCCTTTCACGACCGCGTCCATGGTTGTTCTCTTATTTCCCCTCCCCCGCAACAGGGCGGCAGATATTACGGGCCGACTACACCGTGGGTCGATTATATGACTCGCAAAAAAACTCGACGAGCAGATACTTTCACCGGACGTTTGTCAGATGTCGCGCGCAGATGTGTCCCGCGATTACGCTGAACGCGTTATTGCGTTTCCCAACGGCGAGACGGGTCGCGGGACCGCTTCCGGGTTCCCACGCGGGGTGAATTGGATACTCCGCATTGTCTGGGAAAACTTTTACATTTTACGGAGTGAACCGCATAAACGAATACAGCTGTACTCGTTTTAAATTCAAAGGCAACGCAATTATATGGTTCGAGAGAATATGTGTAATGATATAAACAGGTTCTTCATTAACCCCTTGATGTACTATTTACTTCCGCTACTAAGCTCGTGTAAAATTTTGCTATCAACAACTTGGAAGAAATGCAGCAAAAATTTCCATTCTACTTGAAATGGAAATTTCGTTTGAAGATAATAAATTGATAATAGCAAAATAGCTGTTTGTTTTGATCCGTGGGTAATGAACAACATTGATTGTTGTTAAATTGGTTTAGAAATCTTCATCACGAGTCTCGCTCGTCATTGTACGGCAAGGGGTTAAGGTCATCCTCAAACTCGATTGAATGTCACCTCTTTTCATGACAATAACATTTCCAAGTTTACAATGTTTTAATTAATAAAGGTTCGATTTTCTCGAATGTAGAGTTAAAAAATAAATGGATCTTGAATAAAATTGTTTTACTCACCAATAATTCCCAATCTGTGGAATTTACAAGAACCAAGATACCTGGTCGTCTGTGTACATAAAGAAAAATATAATGTATGGTGTGCGAATTCAATGATTAATTTGTTGGAATCGTAATTCTACGAAATTGAAAATGAATAATAGGAGCAAGTTAAGAAACCGGAATTCTTTTAATATTTAGTACCGAAACTGAATTGTGCTGCCATCTTAATTACTACCGTTGGACTTCTTAGCCAGTCGCCATCTTAGCAATATACAGGTCGAATTGGCAAGACCGAATTAGTGGAATATACCGTATTGTGTTGTTGGTGCTATACGTGTGTCACAGTAAACTTTGCGCGTGCTGCACAGGAAATTTTTCCATGCAACAGTTGCAAATGTTGCATGGAATATTTACGCCACTAATACGAAACTATCGAATGAATTGAGAACTTACACAGTGTCCCCTTGTAGAAAAAGTTCCGGTCGTTCCTTCAGGAGGTTATCTTTCATCCAAAAGAGTAACCTTTGTATAGTCCCTATAATATTTAAAGTGGCGAATTAAAAAATCCTATTATAAAATATCTGTAAAACTTACAGTCGTTACCAGGTAAGTTCACCTCATAATTTTTCTTTTTATCGAAAAGTAGTTCTGCCCCTCCCCTGAAATTTAGCGGGTGATTTATTAGACTCGATACCACTGTAAGAAAAGTTGGGTTATATATAGTTTTAACGTTACCCGAATTCAATGCTGACGGAAGTTTCACTTTTTTCTGAAGACATTTTATTCAATTTTTCCTGCGGTGTATTACTTTATAGTTATATTACCACCTATTTACATGCGATTACAAAAAACAATTGTTCAACACGCATAGAAACAACGTGAGTGACATTGCGGTTCAATTCCACATTCCTTCCGTTCAAGACATCAGTAGTGTACGATTTCAACGCGGCAAAATATTAATTTTGATATTCAATAATCATTAAAGGAAGTACTATGCTCGAAAAATTTTGATATTATTTCTTTTTTTCAAAATTTTTATTCTACTTTATGAAAGCATGCGCACACGATTCGTATGGTAATTAACAACCCGGTGTTTCTGTGCATATCAAAGAAAAAAGTAATATTTTTTATTAAGTGGTGTAGAACTTGTTACAAATATATTACTGTACTTAAGAATGTAAATAAACAATATTTTAAATTATTATTAATTTAGTATATAATAAAGAAATGTAATGAAATGTAGAGCAAGTGCCCCTTATATACAACATAACTACACCCCTGTACGTTCGCAGGTCATTAGTCTTGCAATAATTATGTACTTAATTGCGACGTTCTGAGCAAGTTGTCCATTTTAATAATTATTGTTCCAACGACAAGATTTATTGGTTAAGCCTAATTCGGAAAATTTTGATTTCATCTAAATGAATGTACCATAAAAGTGACTTGATAAAAATGTAGAATACGCGAACGGACTGAAATGCAGGTGCCATCGGCGGCAGCTGTAATGGCGGTCGTCGGGAAAGTATGATCGCACGCGTTAAATGCTTATTAAAACAAGTAGTGTACCCTCAGTACGAATCCACGGTGTTTTAAAATCGTTGTGATTATAAGAGACGTATATTATTATAATATATCACGTGTTTAGTATCAACATCCGCAATGTCGGAAGAAAACGAACATACTTCGGAAGAAACCGAAACAGAAATGAATGCTGAAACTCGCAGTAGTGAACAATGTAAAAATGAAGCAAGTATATTAAACAATGAAACGGAACAGCCTATGTTAGAAGATGAAGAAATGCCGTCGTACATTAGTGTATCAACCCCATCAAGGCGCGAAGATTCGGATGTTAATACAAAACAAGATAGGATACCAGTGGAAGAGGATCACAGCCGAAGCCCTTATCCTAGTGATGATCAAGGAGGAGGCAGCATTTATGTGTTATCTTCCGGGGAGGAGAGTAATCATCCTTATAATAATGAAGAAGAAGATGAGTATGCAGACAGTGAAGGTATATAAACAACAAAGAATTTTCTTTACATGATGGTTATATACTTTATGTTGATTTCTGTTTCTATAGATATGGATGAGATGGATCTTGAAAATGATCATGAGAATTTAATGCTAGAAGATGAAGAAGATGAAGATGAGGAGGATGACGATGATCGAAATCGTATGAGATTACACAATGACCGAAATCGTATGAGATTACACAATGATGATGATGAGGATATTGAAACAGAATATGAACAAGAATATTGTGATAGAGCATCGGATGATTTTGTCCTAAACACTAGAATGAAGCAACATCACAAAGAAAGAAGTTTATCGCTACAAGATTTAAGTTTCACTAAAAATAATGCACATCCTCCTTATAATAAGAAGAGGCATAGTTTAAATATCTTTAGACAAAATTATTCAGGCCTACAACCGAATCCTGTTGCATTTAATGCTGCTCACAAAAGACACATGTTTCCGCTTAAATATCAACATGTAGAAAGTAAAGTAAAACAATACATTAGAGATATTAAGGAACAAACAAGGAAGTCAATGGAAAAGCGGATTAAAGAGCTAGAATGTTTGACGAATAAAAATCACGAAGAGAATCAAAGTAAGGGAATCTTCATGTTATTAGACTTTGGATATTGTATATATTGGAATGAAAGTTAAAAATAAGACAATTTTTCATGGATAATAATATTTAACAGTGAATATATAAGAAATATAATTTTTATTTTTCGTTTACAGATGACACCGATCCATTAAAGCCAACAATAACAAACAAAGTTATAAAAGATTATGCAGAGAAGGCTATTAAGGACTTGCAACTCGAAGAAAATAATGAAAATGGTAATTCAATTTATAATTCAGCACAACTAGTAGAAAATGGTGATAATAAAATTGAAATCAAAGTAACTGAAAATCAGCTTAAACATATTCGAAGAAACAGTAACATGAATACATTCAGTGATATTCAAAATGAAAAACGTGCACAAAACTACGATGATAAATTAGGAAAACGAAATGGTTCTGTAGATGTTAATGCACATCATATTGAATATCAAAATACATTAGATAAAAACGTAAAATTTAATAATATGGATCAATCTTCTTTAGTTAACGGTCATCAGCAAGCACCTACAGTTTTCAATTTACGTACATTAAGCTACGAAGAATACTTGCATGGTATATCAAACTCTGAACAAAAGGAAGAATTGAACGAGCAAAAACACGACATTCAAGGAAAAATGAATGAGCCTGAAACATATAATGACACAGAGATGATTAGTGTACAAGAAATGGAAAACAGCAATACCAGTTGTCCGTTAAAAATTGCAAATGTTAAAAGTATCAGAGTAATGCAAGATGAACCAGAAAATTTACATTTTACGAAAGCAAGTGCAGCAGAAAATGTGCAACTTAAAGCTCAACTTAATCAAATACGAAATGCGTATCAAAAAACATTGGCAGAAAATATGAAAATGAAACAAGAATTAGATGCTTTAAAGAAGTCGGTAGCAAAATATGAAAGTGAGAGCAAAACACGTGAAATGAAAATTGCATCTGTGCAAACTGAAGCTATTGTAGAAACTGGATCTAATCCAAAAGTAATTGTAACTGCAGGGGATACAAATAATAAAATATCTACCAGTAGTGTTGCATCAACAATAAGTACTGATCAGTGGGCAGAAACTCCTTGCAGTTCAGGTATATCCATTAAACCGCCAGATTTGACACAAATTCTTAATTCTGATGATAGTATGGTACTCACTGATGGTACTCCAAGAAAGTTACCGCATCCATGGTCACGAACATTTATTACTTCATCTCGAATCTTACAAACTCTTTCCAACATAACACAAGGCAAAACAAAAGTTGAAAGTCCTTTGGTTAGGAATTGTAAGAAACGGACAAGTGAAAATTCAATGGATCAGTTATTGAATTTAGAATACAATTCTTCAATGCATGCTTCAACTTCTAAGAAACGAAAAGCAGCAGATATGCTTGGTGCTTCCACTTTTGTTCAACCATTTAAAATACCTCATACAAATATAGAATCTGAAAAGAAAAATACTAATGCATCAAATATGGAGTTAAAATATTCAGAAGGACAGCCAAATGTAAAGATAGAGCAATCACAGAATTCATCTGTCAATAGAAACAGTGAGGATTCTTCATCTATGGACATTCAAGAGGAAGGGGCTACTAACAATGACAATGATGTGAAGTGTTTCATATATAGAGAAGATGAAAATAGCAAAAATAGAAGTTTCTTAATACAAGCAGAAGAACCAACAAAGGATGCATTAGAAAATGAAAAAAATTGCATCCAAGAATGTGGTCCATACTTATTGGGTAATCTTGAAGTAAGAATGTCTGAAATAAATGGTACAATTAGTGTTTGGGGTAAAGAGATTATTCAGGAATCGTCTAGTGATAACGAAGATGACACGGATGTGTCTATAAAATCCAGAGAAAAGAAGACGAGTCTTTATTCTCAACAAACACCACAAATTAGATTTAATGGTAGTCCATTTATGTGTTCAACTCATAAAAAGCAGAAGCTCCCATTAAGGCTGACTAAATCCAGTGGTTCTCAATGCTGCCACTCTATGTCGTCAAATACAGTAAAATCACCTCTCTTATCAGATGAAGTAAGTAATAAGAGACATAGCTATATTCATTCAAATCCAAGCAGCTGCGCAATTCCTTGCGAAAATTGCGATTCCATAAAACATCGGAAAGAATGGTCAACGTGTAAAAATACTTCGGGTTCACAAGAAAAATCACATTCCTGTTGTACGCATCACGCAGAATTCGTAAACAAAGATTGTAACTGCGGTTCATATCATGAAAGACAGGTGTACAACGATAGTCCTAATCATAGTAAAGATAAGTTCCACGTTAAAGGAATACGAAGAAATTCCTGCAAGAACGCATTTACGCCGGAATCGAGTAATCATTTACATGAAAACATCATAAACGCAACTTGCGAAACGGGCGAAGTAGTTTGCAAGTACAATAAAACGTGTCGACGTTCCGTACAAAATACATGTAACGGTAGTCCCCATGTAACACAATGTTGTAACACGAGTAAAGATGTTACTTGTACATGTAAATCATTTTTGAATAATACACATAATCATGATTGTTCTGAAAGACAATCATGTAGTCATAGTCTTTTAAATGATGGAGAAGAAGATCTTTTAATTCCAGTAAAGCAATCGAATGAAACATCTGAAGTGAGTACATACAAAATAACTAGATTGCCAATCTTTTACATAATCATAGTTACATTTTATCCACAAAAACTATTTCGCCTTTTACTTTTTATATCCAGACAAGGCAGCGACGATTAAGTGGCAAAAGAGTGCGAGGCATTCTTATGGATCTCTTAAAGGGTTGTGGAGATTGTCGTAGTGGAGCTACAAATGTTAACAGAAGTGGTCTGCAGCAAAAACAAACTTACATGACGAATGGGCAAATTAATATTTCTCCAAGTCGTACGCCTGAGCCAACATGTTCGAGTTCCACCAAATGCAATGATAGGTAAATTAATTTTAATTTTCAAATAATTAAAAATATATATTACTAAAAACGTATCTTTATTATTTATGGAAATTATTTGTAGATGCTGTCATGCATACGCAAGACGGATCGAATCTCAACTTGAAGAATTCCGAATTGAAATGGAAAGAGTGCGATCACGTTCAGATGCAATTCTCGACATGCTCAATATGCTTCATTCTGTTGATATGAACTAAATGAAACTATTATCATTCTTAAACTAAGTGCTTTTTCCTTGTACAGATCACTATTTCTTAATTTCGTTAAGTCAAGGTGTACGCACTACGATCAAACATTCTTATTTACCTTGGTTACTTCATTGCCTATAAACAGTACGTGATCGATTTATTAAATAAAACGCATCCACGTCTAAAGAAAGAGAAAGCTACTGCATTGTACCATACAAGTGAATGGTTTTGTATCGCGGCGATTCAATTTATAAAGCATCTGGTCATTGAAATAAAATTTCGTATCATTTCTTTTATATCGTATTACAGTTTGACATGTACCACTTTTTCAACAACAAGAAATTTAACTGTAGTGGTGTAGTCGTATTTACATATAAAAACGAAAATTTTATGTGGTGCTCAAAACGAACCTTGTTAAACACACTGATTAATTTCGTATTAATAATTGCAGTCACAGGAGTCGAATCCTGAACCGGCCTCCCCCGGCAAAACACCAGGCGGAGCCTCCCCTTGACCCTTGAAGATGTTACTGTAGGATGTCTTCAAATAATTTACGTGGCCTTGCAGTGATCTTATACGACCTTGGGCCTGTTCAAACGCTTCGTTGAGATTATTTATTTGACCCTGCATCTTTTGCCTAATCTATAAATGATCAAGTGGAAAATCAGTTGACAACCAAGAAAGTAAGTCTTAAACATTAAGTTGTACATTGCTAATTTCTAAACAAATTAAATTTACCTCATCCCTGTCCTTTTGCGCAGCTCTCGCAGTGGCTCTGCATTGAGCCAACTGCCTCTCCATATCTGCTATCTGACTTTGCATCGATCTTCTCACAGTATCACATCTCTCTTTCGTTCTCGCCACTTGTCTTGCCGAGTCTTCTCGAACCTTTAAAGAAAGAGCACATAAAAAATTATTTTCTACTTCATAAGGACGGAAATACAACATCATACCTGATCGAGCATCGCCGTTAGCTGAGTAATCTCATGCATCTTCTCATCGATGCGTTTCTGCAACTGCGCTTCGTGCTCTTCGAATCTGGCAAGCGTGTTCTTCATACGTTCATTCTCATGCCGCAATTCCGAGTTCTTTTTCTCCAGTTCCTCGAATCGCCCTGTGCCACTTCCTCTTTCCTCCTGTTAAGTATAACTCATGAGTTAGAAGCTGTACATAATTGTAGAATGTTTCTTATGAATAGTATTTGATGAATCATGAACTGTACAAAGGTTCAACAAATTTTAATCAAGTAAATTATTTTATAATACTGGAAGACAATAACCTGAAGAGTCTGATATTCGGCGCGCAGAACATCCAACTGATTTTGCAATGTTTGCGCCTTATCTTTGTACCCTATAAGATCCCGCGATAGATCCTCGCAATTTCGCTCAGCGACCAACCGCATCTGTTGCGCTTCCTGCAGCTTCACCTGCGTCTGCTTTAATAGATCCGGCAATGGCGCGAGCTCGGCAAGTTTCTCTTGAAATTGATTCTATGAAGAGAACAATCGAATGTATATACGCAAATGGACGTCTAGAATCTATTGCGCACCTTGACCCGACCAATTTCTAAGGTCACATTTTCGTTCATTCGCGCGTTATCCATTTCCATGAGATCAAGCTGCCGCCGTTGTTCCTCCACTTGTTGTTGCGCCTGTCGTTTCAGTTATCATTTTCATACATGCCTGTAGCACACCATTAAAATAACACGTATCAACAAGAAAGACCTGTAAGTATTTATTGCGATAATCTTCGAGCTGGGCGGCTTGATCTTGGATCAGCGATCGCAGTTCTTCCAGTTCGTCTTGCGACTCCCGGAAACGTTGTTTGACTACTATTAATTGTTGTTCGTGTTCGATCATTTGTTCCTTGAAACCTGTCATTGGTTTCAACGTTTAGATATTAGCAATTACAACTTTCGACTCGAATGAAGTGCAAGGTCACCTTCATATTTATCTTTCTCAGCCTCGATCGCTTTTAGACGTTCTTGAGCATCTACTAGTTTGATGTCTAATTTTTCTCTTTCTTCAATTGCTTCGCGCGTTTGCTGCTTCAGTTTCTCGGCATCTGTTCTTAAACACGAAACCTCGCATAATTTGTTTTTGTAATCATCCTGAAGACGTGCGTACTGTTCGCGAAGGTCGCGCAGCTGTTGCTGAGGACACGTGCTAGCGCCCTTTCATTAAATATTCGGTTTAATACACGTTAAAAAATTTCGCAGAACGTTATAGTCTTACCATAGGCGCAGTCACGCAAGGGCCGGTGCAAGTTGAAGAAGGCGCGGGCGGCATCTGTGCCTGATCGAAAACATATCATTTTATGGAGATGAAGAGAAACTTGAGCTAAACGAAAAATTAAAAAAAAAAGGGATCTTATTGCAGCTCGTGTCATATAGTATACTACTAATCTAATAAATGTCTACATTATACTGTACATAATTTAAGGTACTAATTTTATATAAAATCTTATATGAAATAATCATATTTAGAATGTAACGGAAGTTGTAAAGTTTCAGTTATAAATTACGCACAGGATAATGCTACCTTGTTGTATGGTCGAAAAAAAAACAATTTAGATTTTTTCTAAAATATGTTTATTTCATACAAAATTTTTTTGTAACATTACTTGGGTAAACAATTATCTGAATCCATTGACTATCATCGACTTTGATCAACGGCGACATAATTTTTACGACTATCGATGTAACTGTGAAATAGCTTGTTCTGTGGATTCACGTGATCAAGTTGATCAAGATATTGTACGGATACCTTGGGAAGAGGTATGGAAGGCGATGGTAGAATTGGAACAGGCGGTGCGTAAGGTGGCGATCCGGAAGTTTGATGGGACATGGACGAAGGAGGTGGACAGCAACCGCAAGGTGCACAAGGACCGGTGCATTTCAGCAACTTACGTTGCTGTTCTAATTGCTGGCGTTCCCGTTGCACATTGGCAAGTTCTATCTGCATGTTACGCACTTCGCATTCCATGTTGCCCAGTTGCTGTTCCTAAAACCATTCTGAAGCTGCACAGTGAGCCAAGAAAGTATTGACATACTTTATTCCTTTATGATAACTTCACATCAAAGACTAATATTTTGTTTTCAATCCTCTAAGTGCATCCCATTAAAGCAGAGTTAAATTATGTTTTTTTTGGGGTGTACTAGTTGTTTATTATTGCTGGCATAAGATGCAAGCTGATGCTCTAATTCTTCAGGACACATTCCTCTAGGTGGTTGCGGTGGACATGGTTGCTTGGCAGCAGCAGGACTCCGACAGCACATTTCGCTGATTTGTGAAGAAGCACTACTTGCAACTAAAGCACCTGTCCTTGACGCGCCACCTGCGAGTCTGGGTGAATCTATAGACACATGCCAGTTTTTAATTAGTATAAAAGAAACAATACTGTGTAAATGAACATAACTCACCAGCACTGTTCAAAAACGTTTGACTATTTCTTCTTACTGTAAAATTTAGTAGATTAAGAAAATTGTATTTTTAATATTGTAAGTTGAAGTATCGTTCGGTATCTATTTACCGCACAAGGAATTGCCGTATGGTGTCGATGTGTCAGTCTGTAGACAGCACTTGCACGGACAATAGTCGTCGTCCTGTTGTACCGTTGTGGTGTACGAAAACGACCGATAAGGAGATGGGCTTGATCTTGGAGACTGATTTCCACCTGGACAAGGGTAACAGCAAGGACTGGTGATACGTTGATTCAAGCAAGCTATTTGTCGGGTCAATTCCGTGTTTTCCTTCACGACTATTCGCATTTCAGCTTGCAGCCCGCATACCTTCCTCTGAAGACTCTCAACAGCGGTGTCTTTCTCCAATAATGCTTCCTCTAATTTGTATCTACGCATCGAATGTATTCATCATGATCATTTGACTGATGTGGACACATAATTTTGCTAAAGTCTACGCTTTCGTTGTCAGGGTAAACCGATACGATTTTCATGTATTTTTCCTCACGATTCTCTATTATTTCTCATCTCATATCGGGTGTTTAAAATAGAAAGACTGTAAATGCGAGAAACTTACTTGCCGCCTTCGAGCTGAGCATTCTCTAGTACTAATTTCTCTTGCATGGTTAAAGATTCGGTTAATTTGCCTGTCAGATTTTTCAAAGATCTATCCTTTCCCCTCTTCTTGCTGTCCGCCACAACGATTTTTGGAATTTCATCTTCCGTATGCCCGCAGACAATTACTCTAGGTAGTCTAAACGAATGGCAAGATAGAATAGCTTATAATTTTTCGAAATAACAATTTTATGACGCACTTGTCTTCGGGATAATCTATTTGAGGTAAATCAAAGAGATCCTCTGGCTTTGGTGCTTTATCTTCTACCGGGTCTTCTACTATCCTGCTAGTTTTCGAATGCGGGTACGGCAGCATGTCAAACATTTTACTGAAAGTGAGGCTCGAGAAATCAGTCAGACCCAATGTCCTCTGCAGCTGTCGCGTTATTTCTTCGATTTCTGCCAGTTTTGTCATTACTTCTTCCTGCTTAGTCTTAAGCAGCAGCGTGTCCTCTTCTGACAATTCTTTTTTCTACAAACCATGTTGGAAACAGAGCTAAAAGCAATCTTTCGAAATTCGACAGCTTTTTAGAGCTTCATTTTTTGGACAATTACTTCCGTGAGTGTAACAATTTCGAGCTTTAATTCTTCAATCTCTTTCATGATAGCGGCGCAACGCTCGTCAGCTTTCTTCATCTCTTCCAATGCAGCAGGATCGGTCAACAGTGACGAGCTCAACACAGAGTCCCGTCGACCGCCAGGTTTCATGGGAGCACCTAGATAAAGAATTAAAATTATTAATATAATATTAATATTATATATAATATTATTATTAGAAATTGTTAATATTATTATACCTTCACCAACGCCAGGAGGAAGTGGAAAATCCGGAGGTTGCACTGAGAGTACATCTGAATCTTTGACATCCTGAACTTCCAATTCGGCCTCTTTTTCCGTAACTTCTTCGTTGCCTTCTGCTTCGAGGTCGACTTCAGGTTCGGGTTCAGATTCAGGTTCTTTCTCCATTGTATTCTCTACTTCGTTTTCAGCCATGCTGAGATTAAATCAATTTAGTAATCAAATGATTTAACATTATGAAATCTTAATTAAATAGCTTACATTGGTGATTCTTCTTTCACAGTGGTTGGACTTATAATTTTTGTCAATTCAGTCAAATCAACGCCAGGCTGCTCTTTGACCGCTTCCGGTTTATTTTTATGATAGTCATAAGTCTACAGAACATTTAATGTTAATCATTTAGGGACTATTAAATATAAATATTTTATTGTAGTTAGAATATATTGCACAATAATAAGTATATTGAGAGATTAAGAATCATTAGTTTAAACTATAAAGAAACTTCTTTAAAACTCTGTAAAATTTATCATTTGAAATCATATGAAAATCATTCCCGATAATAATAGCATCACACCTGTTTGAGAATGTGTGGTTCGAGGTCAGATTCTTGTTGCAACAGCAGAAATTCCACCAAGTTTTTTGTATTTTTGAGATTTCCCGATTCAAACGGAGGAATCTCTTGATGGCATTCGACCGCCAATGAGTATACCTCAGGTAAATTCAGAGGCTTCTTTAAATCGAACAAAGATTCCAACGAACCAAATGCATCTCTCTTCAAAACCGATTGGTTACTGTATTTCGCGGCTTTTATTTGTAATTTCGGACCCGACCGCTGCAAACGGCGATGATTTAGGTCGTGAAGATTTTTTCTTTTAACAGAAGAACTTTGAAGGAAGGATGACGGTAAACTTGCTGAACGGGATGCGTTCCACGTGCACGGTCGTTGCTTCTAAAATCATTATTTAAAATGTTCTATTTATGTATACATTGTGAACTTGGATGTACATTAAAATTTGTTTAGGTTAACATATAAGAGTAAGAATTACACGAAAATTTCTTTCTTTCATTATGAACATTATAAAGTTAACAATAGTATTGTAATCTCATCACATTCTTAGTCCCTACAACTTTCTGGAAACGAAACAAAATTGAACTATCCAAAAATTCCTGGCAAAAATCATTTTGCTTTATATATATTAATACAATTACAATGTTGTAAAAACAATAACAGACATTTTACCTTCATTATTTTACCTTCGAAACAACACCGTTGCATCAAACAACGACGAAATTTCTTCCGGTACTACCGCAAGTTAGGAAATGATATTATTTTCCTCTCGTCTACTTGATGAGGAATCGGTGTTGATATCGAGATAGCGTCGAACGATTTCCCAGTTTTCTTATTCGAAATCGTATTTTTATATGATTTTTGTACTATAATATAGATTCGTATTAATTATTAAGAAACTTTCCGAAAGTATAAAAACATTTTTTTAAATGAATGTGTCACTTACTTAGGGAAACCTTCAATTTCTTCAAATAAGCATATTAAACATGCTTCATTTATTTTTGTATTTGATTACGAGTTATTAATGTGTGTACATGTTTTTCCTGTATCAAAATTTTAACAAGAAAAAATAAGATTTTAAAATCCAGAAAATATTTAAATGAATTAGCAAGTAATTAAGGAAATTTTTTTAACGTTTTAGATAACTGATAATTAGTACATGTCATATTACACATGTGTATTGGATTTGATAATAATGCTTACGTCGTTCAGTGGTACAAGCTAAATAACCTAGAAGAATGTTTTTTTTTCTCCTTTTTTAAGTAAAATGAAGCAATATATCCTATTATTTAGTTAATTGTAATAAATTACACTATTTTACATGTCGTAAGAAACTTCATAGTTTTAAGAAGGTAAGGACAAGCATCAAGAGAAGTCTGTGATATAAATACATCAAATTAAGACATAAAAATTTATGGAAATAAATTGATAGTAAATATAAACAATAGTGTAAGTAGTACATTTATTGTATAAGACGTGAATGTAGGGTTTTGAACGGATTAACATATTACTTTCGTTCGGAAAAGGTCATGCGAAAATTCCATTGTGTGTAAACAACTTTGTTGTTGTCAACGACATACCATTTTCATTGCAAAGAAAGAAAGATATTGGTGTCTTTTCCTTAAAGAAGAAATCTAATCAATTTACAAACCGTACATTTTTTGTCAAATTTATACGTATATATTGTGTTTTACATTTTTATAAAATGGAGGTTATGGAGATCAGTAAGTGTTCACAATAAACCAGTTATGCGTAGAATTTATAACAAAATATCGTGATTGTACTGTCAGTATGTCTACAAATGTCTATAAATATACATAGAAATTATTAAACTACCTTTATATAATTTTATGTTATAAAATCTTAAGTATTGTAAATAATTTCTGTGGTACAAGTTTTAATGATTTTAAATATAAACAAGAAATTTAAAGTACAAATTTAATATTTTTATAATTTTTCATTGAATACTATAGGTGAAGAAGCACCTCAAATGGAAGGAACAGAAGAAGATCGTTCTGAAGAATCTGATAACAATGAAAATGCCAATGACAACGATAATGCCGATAATAATGATAATGCTGATAATAATGCAGAGATTGAAGTCGAACCAGAAGACACAAGTAAGTTATTTCATATTTAATATGTATATATTAGCTTAGTATAGCCTACTATCAATATATAATATAAATCTGGTGCTATAGAAGATGACGAATCAAAGGCAAAGAAAGCAAAAGAAGAAATTATAGATGAGTCTGATGTTGATTCTGATCAATCTTGCCCTATATGTATGGACCTATGGACTAGTTCAGGAGAGCATCGTTTGTGTTGTTTACGCTGCGGACATTTATTTGGATATAGTTGCATTTTAAGGTGGCTACAAACTTCTTGTACTAGTGCAAATCGTCGTTGCCCTCAATGCAATAGAAAAGCTGCTGCTAAAGATATTAGAATGCTGTATGCCAAGAAATTAACATCCATAGATACTGCTGAATTAAATCAATTGAAAGAACAATTAAATAATGTTACAGCTGAAAAAAATCGCGTAGAAATGGAGTTATCAAAGTACATGCTTAGACAAAAATTATTTGAGCAACAAGTAGTTAGTATGCAAAACCGTATATCTGAATTAGAAAGTCGGCAATCAGAAATAAGTGTGCATTCCAGTCAGAGTATTACTAAACATGCGATTAAAAAGTTTCATTTAGATCGATCCATAGAAATATGTAAGGATGGCGGTTGTCGAGTATTGGACTACAATCCATGGCATGGATTCCTAGCTGTCTCTCAGAAATCAGTAAATACATTATTTTCGGGTTATGGGATTAAAAAAATCGATGCCGACAAATTTCAACCACGTCAATTTATTTTTCTACATTCGCAAGCTATAAGGGACATTACATTTAATACAACCCAGCAGTCAATATTGCTTAGTGTCGGTTTTGATAAGTGCGCGAAATTAATGGACATTCAAAATCATTTTATCATGCATACTTATCAAACAGATTTTCCATTGTGGAGTTGTTGTTGGTCAGGTGATAATTCAAATATATTTTTCGCGGGTGCACAAAACGGATCTATAACACAATTCGATATCAGACAAACTTCTGGAGCCATAGAAACTTTAGATAGTCCAGGCGACAGATCGCCTGTAGTTTCTCTGGCGACAGTACCCTCTAATCCTGGAAGTGGCATCAGTCGAGGAGGATTCATTGCATGTCGTTTAAATACATGTTATGCGTATGAACAGAAAGAGTCGAAATATATACCTAAACAAATATTTCTTGAAGGACCATTTGTATCTGTATGTTATGATGAAAAAAATAATCATGCTTTAATATCTTCCCGTCCAAATGCAAGACAACCTCATGCTAGACACATAGTATGTACCATAGAAAAGGGTAACGACGAATCGACCATTTGTAATGTTGTACACACGTTCCATGCTGGTAATTCTCAGCAATTATTATCTCGACCATGTTACGTGAACATTGAGAATGATACGTTAGTTGCTGCACATCAAGAATCCACAAGCTGCATATCTTTGTGGAGTATGTCTACTGGAAAACAAGTGAATACTCTACCTGTGTCTGACCCTGTTATCGATATGTGTGCAGTTGACATTAATAGTAATTTATTTTTATCAACACTTTCTGCAAAAAAAGTTAGGATTTATAGTCATGGATAAGAATCAACATAGCATAGAAATCATAATTTAATAAAAACAATCTGACTGCCAGTATTGAATTCTTTAATGCATTTTGTAATCTAAAGTCTGAATAATATCTCTCTGCATGAAAGATGTGATAGAAACTGATGTACATAGTTAAAAATGAAAGTTTGTTACAAGTACAGTTTGGGTCTTTTATTATTGATAGTACAAAAGTTCTCTCTGTATGCATATGTGTGTGTGCGTGCGTGTAATTTAAACTGAGGACAGTAAAAATAAATTTACAAGTTACCATTCTATAATAATACACATCTGCACTGAGTATTTTTTTATGACTACTGCAAACAATATTTAAAAATAAGATAATAATAAAAATAAGTATATTTATATATAAATGTAAGTAATGTAATTTATAATAACTTGAAAAATGTACTGAACTTAAGATTAACATGTATATATTTTTTAATAGATAATTGTTATTCATATAGTAAAAATCAATATGTTAAAAGGGAACTTTTGTATAAGCATTTTCAATGCTAGTACTGAAAAAGTTATTTATTAATATTTTTGAAATATTAAATTACATTTGAAATGTTTAAAGATTGTATTTAATTATTTTCACAAATCAACCCATGTATACCTATTAATTTAAAATGGGTAATTCTAAATCAAACTTTAACTAGAATTCATTATCTATTAACACATCTGTAACACAGCCTCCATATAAATTATAAAAAGATGTAAAAGAAAATTATAATACTTTTTCTTTAACACTGCCAGAAACATGATACTATTTAGTTATATTTTTAAAAAATCTATGTAACATGTATGGAATTAATATGCATAATGCTGTACAAATAGTGTTTTAAACAAGTTTGAAATGTATCCTACATGTGCTGGTATTTTATTGTTTAGTTTATGGATCATCATAATTTCTCCTTAAATTATTTATAAACCAGTAGTTCTTCACAAACCATACAATTTTATAAATACTGTTACATATATATCAAATATAAAACTGTATTTTCTGAAATTTTCAAACTGAAAGTTCAATGTGACTTGCAAAACAATGTTTTTTAAAGTTTTTGTATTGTTATGTTTATTATGATCAGTTGCAAGTCAAATAATGCGAGAGTGTAATTTGCTTTTTAAACATGGAATGTACATCTCCAGTTTCTATACAGAACTGATATAATAAAGTATAGAGCACTAAATTATAATTGATCACTGAAGATGTACAAATTTAAATATTAATAATACAGCATTTATGTTTAAGATTCTTTTTACAAAGTTTATGTAACGCTAACTATTTGTTGTCTATTTCAATAATGTACAATCAGATTTAATTAACTTCTAAGTGATGTAAAGAAAATTATAAAATTTATAATCAAGTTACAAAATAATAACTATTTTCCTATTGATATAAAAGGACATAATGCATAGACACTTGTCTACAAACACAGAAAAATACTAAATACTGCGCTATGCAAAAATTATTTACGTCTTTACTAATATTTGAAAAAAGAAAACGAATGAACCCATTTATGAAATGTAACTTTGTAAATAAAAGGAAAGGCCAATGAAAGATGTAAAAATATAATTATTTATACAAAGAGATTTAATGAATGTTTAACACGTAAATCTATCTTTTTCCCGTTAAAAAAAATCTTGATAAATGCATTATTTCTTCCTTGTAACAATAAAAAATTTCGTTGCTTAAATAACATTATTTAAAATTTTAATAAACGAAAGATGAAATTTTACTTGATGAGATTTGACTTTAAACTGTGGCTATCAAGTTGGACTTAACAGATTTTATTAATTACTGTTGTTCATGCCTATCTTACAAGTTAAATAAATGACTATTATTTCAAGGATATTAAATCAATTTCCCGTGAATGTTTTTTTTCCATTGAAATATTGTCGTTACAAGTGCTGAATTTGATTATGAAACTGCTATGGTATCAATACTTGGGTGTGGTATTACAGAAGTTTTGTAATGACAAAATGAGCAGTGCTTTTATATGACAGATTAACTATACAGTTATCACTAACTGAAAAGCTGCTCAGTGGCACGTTCCAAATCCCAATTATAAGAGGATAAAGCAACTCTTGCATTGTGTTCCTCAATTCCCATATCTGTTAGTCGCCTTATTTTGTCATCTAAATCAGGCATCTTTGCTGGTCCTACAATTATTTCATTTATTAGACTAAAATATTTATCAATGTTTAAAGAGCATATATACTTACCACCTGCATATACAAACGTCCAATGTTTGGCAGTTTGACGGAACATTTCTGGATGTTCCTTATATTGTTTGGCTACTACTGCATCTTGCGGATCATCCGGCTCCGCCGCAGCTAATAAAGCTTGCAATGACAACAGTACTGTACGTAAAGTCATAGCAGCAGCCCTTCAATGGAATATTTTAAATACTATATATATTTATAATATCAGAACAATAATTACAGTTTATACAATGTAGTTACGTACCATTGATCTTTCAATATATCCAAACAAATGGCACCTGTTACCGAAGATATATTAGGGTGCCATATTTTTGTTATAAATCGCACCTACAAGAAAAATTAAATATTTAGTGATACATAGTATTTATTCCATAAAAGACGTATAGATCTATACTAATTTATTACACTTTACATGTAATTAATAAATAATGAAAGTATTATGAAAAAAACTTAATTATACATCAAATGTTTCTAATTATTGCAATATTGTAACATTTGAAACATACTATGATATTATGTAAATAACATTAGATAAAAAATAGTTGCAAACATAGTCCACTTTAGAACAGAAAACTTGGAAATTGCTTTGTCATGTTTTAGGTTATATTAATCCTCCTTAATTTTATGCAGTGCAAAACTGATTCTTTATCATTAACATATATTAATCATATTGACTTACAAAGTGCTTACTTTAGGAGGATTGAAGGGATATGTCTCGGGAACTTTAATCTCGAGTACAAAATTACCTCCTTCATACGGTGTATCTGGTGGACCAGCAATCTCACCTTTTAATTCAGTATAACTATCATTTACTAATTCAACCTTTATCGCACATTTTGCAACCTGCAACACAATTCACAACAATTATTAGTACATAAAATATTTTCTTAAGAAGTTTGTTTATTATATATTCAATTTGACTCTGATCTTTTTTAATAAGAACTCATATTACTGAATATATCAATAATTTCCATAACACAAAATTCATCTGATATAAACAATTGAAACTAAAGATCCATGAAATTATGTGATTACTTCATTATACATATTTCATATACATTATATATTTTCTTGAAATGTTTATCATTTGATATATTAGTGAAGAAGTTTTTATCATAAATTATAAAGAATTGTATTTTTTTCAAAATGTGTACAGAATATAACCACTGACCTATTGACACCAACAATTGATAAGAAAAGTGACGTACTGTTTCATAGTGATAATTGAGAAAATGATCATAATATGAAGATTGTGACATATTGACGCAACGTGTGTATGTATAAACATGTGAAAACATTAATATCAAAACATATGTAGAGTGCATACAAAATGGATCTCCTAGACCAACGTAAGACCAAACAAGTATGCCAGTGCTCCCAGAAACTGAATTATAATGGTACGTACCATTCGAAACAAAGATTTAATAAAAATAGAAGAGGAAAGAGATGGCTAACAACAAAATTAAATAGAAATCAAAATTCGTGCCGATACGCACAATTAAATTATCTTTTAATTCATTGAAGTATCTCTGTAATGTGCAGGCAAGCTATGTACAGTCATATTTCTTCTTAACTGAAAATAATGAATACAAAAATTCGTTTAACGTAATACAATACACGCGTCCTTTCGGTATATTCAAATAACAATTTTTAAATTAAATGACAGTCGAAAATACCATACAACAGGTGCCTACGCTTTGTTCGCGGTGATTTTATCAGCCAATGAATTGCGATACATTTTTATCACGCCATACAAATTTCTTCGGGACAATATCATACAATCAAAAAATATTGTTAAGTGAATTGAATGTTTCCATTTGACGAAAGACTAATCGTATTTCTTAAAATCGTGCGAAGCTAATATTTACTCACCTCTTCGCTTTTTATAACCTCTTTAAATTCGCGTTTGATTCTCTGCGCCGCAATGTTCGCCATAGCTCCCGTATCGGTGAGACGGTCAGCACACTGTCATCGTCATTCAAATAGATTAACGAAGTTCTCTGAGAGCGTCAACGTGCGCGAACTTTTCAGGTAATCGTACTCGAATTTGCTCTCTCTTTCTACTCAGAAAAACGATCGTTCTAACTCGTGCTCTATGCCAAAATCTCCGCTCACGGACACATCCAATTTATCATTCAATCACCGCCGGCGCCACATTGATGGAACAAGTTGTCTGTCACCCGCTCGTGTTCACCCTTTTGAATTTCGTCTACGTTCACGTCGTTGTTATAACGGCGCCAAATTGCAAATATTAAATATTAATATTCCAAAAGACTTCGGTTATCTATAGAATTTAAAACAAAAATTTTACATAAATGCATACAAAAAAAAGACTGCATAAAAATCCTCAATACGTTTAAGGAAAACTTAATTACATTTTTATTTTCGTACAGCGTAGAAAAATATAATAATGTAATAGAATACTAAATTGTTATCATCAAATGTTACAGAAAATAACCAACGGTTAATTAAATCTACTATATGCGTGCATTTTAAAAAATATAATTTGAACTTTTACTTCATTTCAAAATTGACTGTTGATAACGCTGGCAAATGTGTGATTAAGTGTTGCTCTGATCATGACAAACGTAATTGATGTTACTTATGGAGGTACTATAAATTTTCCTCGTATTGCCAAATTAGCTTGTTTATTTCACTGTGTTATTTAGCCAATAACGAATAAAAAACATATGATAAGAAATACGTTTACGCGGTCACAGAGGACTCTTCTAGACGCATTATGCTCGACATTTAGTGGGCGGAACATAGTAGTACGTCACATCCGGTTTCAGAAATGCTCTCTGATTGGATAGTTTCTCCGTGGTTTCTGTTTTAGTGATGCCTGTGTCCCAGCCAGTGCGTGCCAAGAGTTTGTTACGCGCAAACTTAGAAAATTCTCGCGGACGTCTTTTGCAAAGCAGAATGCCAAACATCAAAGTCTTTAGTGGCACGTCGCATCCGGATTTGGCTCAGCGTATCGTCGACAGGCTCGGTATAGACATTGGAAAAGTTGTCACCAAGAAATTTAGCAACCTCGAAACATGGTAATGGTCGCATTCACCGCTATAACCACGTTATTGTCATTGCCTTAAACTAAGCCTTCGACCACGTGTCATCTGATATTTCATTTATATCCTTTCTTTCTACTATATTTTTTCCCGATGGATAGAGTATTTGAAGCATTTTGGCGTTATACTGTTAATATTCTCGTTAATTTATCATCCCTACCAGTGTACAAACAACCCCATCGCGCTAGGCCGGTTTCCCCGTATACTGATAAACCGCGACGTTTAAGCTGAAGGTCAACTAGTACAATTATTAATACATGATTCCAATGAATTCTAACGTTAATGAATCTTTATGAGTATCACGACACGATGTTGAAGAGCATATCTCGCACGTAACTCGAATAGAAATGTTTAACTGCCACATCATAATTTGATGTTTTATTTCTTTCCATTATGTAGTACATTTTTTATTGAAAGTATAAGAAACAAAGACCAATTTACAGCTTGTAAAGTAATTACTTAATAAAATATACTATTGGGTACATAAAATATATATTTAACCATAAGTAGATTAAAAATATAAATTAAATATAAATAAATTTTGAAATCTATTTATATACGTGCAGTTTCGAATTAATTATACTTTTGTGTAATATTTATTATTTAGTTTTATAATTTAGTTATAAATATTTCATTATAAATAATTTAATTATAAATATTTTTATTTGGAATTAAATTGTACTACAGTGTGGAAATAGGAGAATCCGTTCGAGGAGAAGATGTGTACATTGTACAAAGTGGAAGTGGAGAAGTAAATGACAATTTGATGGAACTGTTGATTATGATCAATGCATGTAAAATTGCTTCAGCATCACGTGTAACAGCAGTGATTCCCTGTTTCCCATACGCGAGACAAGATAAGAAGGATAAGGTAAGCTGCTTTATAAAGTATTAAACCTAATATATATTATTGTATTATTTTGATCTAATACAATATAATCATAAAAACTTAACAGAATAATTTGTTAAAATTAATATAATTACAATTGTATTAGTTATGATCTTACAGTTTTATCCTTTACATGGTACCTTTTAGCGCGCGCGCGCGCACGCACATACACACACGCACGCGCGCACACACACATGCACACACACGCACACACGTATGTACTTTTACCACAATGTAGTAAAATAATTATTAAAATGTTGTGCCTGGGAATTTCTATTATTTTCAATTTGATGGTCAGGAAAAGTTTGTATGTAAATGAATATCATACTTGAATCGTGTCATAGTCTTTTATTGTTATTACAGTTGATGTAACTTACATGTGTTATCTGTTTTAATATAAATGCCTATATATGTATTCATCTATATGTACATGTATTCACACATTTATATATATTTTCTTTTATC